ATGTTAAACATATTTTCTTTAATATCTCTTAATATCTGAGTTGTCTAATAACTTAAATTTAATCTTGTATATTTTACATGTTAAGCATATATTCTTTGTTAAATTAGATTTTTTGCAACTTATACTTTTTTTATTGATTATGAAAAAAACAAAATTGACTATTGAATTTGTGTGATTCGAGTTCATAGTAGTGTTTTTAATTTTATATCATTTTTTTAGTTATTTATATTCTTAGTATATTTTCTTAAACTACACGTTATTTAGTATTTAATTATTTAGTAAAGATTGTTATTTCGTATTATTCACTAAATATTGAATTTATATGATTCGTGTTCATAGTATTACTTATAATTTTGTATCGTTTCTCTCGCTTGTAATATTGTATCATTTTTCTCGGGTATTTAGATTTGGATTATTTAGTAAATATTGTTATTTTGTGTTATTCATTAAATATTGAATATGTATGATTCGTATTTGTATATGAATTTAATCTCGTGTATTTTAAATGTTAATATAAAACCTGAGTAAATTTAAATTTTTTATGAAAAATAGAAAAATGGTACATTGCCCTACGGTACGAGTTGTAAATCTGAAATAAATTAGAACTTGGATAACAAAACGGACCTCATCGTTGGATACATCTCGCGAAATTTAGCTATTCTGTCAAATTTTATCGAATTCTGATATAGTCAATTTTTTGCGTTTTACAAGACGATAGAGTCTGGGCTAACTCAAAAACGAAATTTTTAATAAAATTTTGAAAGTTGAAAAATAAATTGAGTTAAATTAAAATAAAAATATTTTGAACTTAAACGGGGACGAAATATAATCGTTTCAGAACGAAAACGGACCCGAAAAAAAGAAGGTCGTGTGACGCATTGTGGAACAAGTAAATAAGGGGTATAAATAGGGGGAAAATCTGATTTCTCCCCCTAATCATCTGTCGTTCACCTGATAGAGAAGAAGAGAGGGAAATGAGAGAGCTTCTTCACTTCTTTCTACGATCTACAATAATCGGTTGCTCAAATCCGTTCGGGCCAAGAACAAAGATTGTTCTACACATCGAGGGCTATGCGACTACACCAAAAACAACGGTTTTCACCAAAATTTCCAAGAACAGGATTTTGAGAAATCAAAGATTTGGGCTTGAAGGATATTCTTAAAGGTTCTATCGTCAATTTTATGCTTCAAGAGGTAGGGTTCCTTCTTACTTGGGTTTATTTTACAACCTAGAGTGTGAAATTGAAATGAGTAGGTTGATAGAGATATATATCACTTGCCTTTGTTTGTGAATTTGATGTTGGTTTAAAATAAATTCCTAGTATGTAATTGGTATGTGGTAATTACTTGTGTAAATCTATGAAATTTGGTGTTATATGGGCATGTTATGTGTTTATATTATACATTTGTGAATAAAGTGTGTTATTGACATATATTATGTAGTAACATACTTGTGATGTATTGTTGGATATAAAAATGTTGATATACGCNCACAGAAGCTTCTAGAACGAAGCTGAGTTGAATGGTAGAGTTGGACTCGGTGACAACTGCGAACTTAGCTTGTAGGATCAGAAATTGCACTGATGAATCTTAATGATTAGACGGACGGGGGGGGGGAGAGAGAGAGAGAGAGTTTTTCTTTGACTGGAAACAATGAAATGACGCTCTAAATCTCTGCANGTTGATATACGCTTATAGATATATCGACATTGTGATGGAATTAGTGATATATACTTTGGATATGAATTGCCATAAAATATTTATAAATGTGGTAAAATTTACTCATATGACATTCATTACATATAGGGCATGACATTGATATTGCAATGGTACATTACATTGCATTTGCACGGAAGCATCACAACCATGGGCATAGACATAAGTGTCGATATGGATGTGTGCATGGTTTAATCAAATACCATACTTGGTGATTGATGGGTGGGCTCGAAAAANATGACTATAAATAAATTATAGACAATTTTATGGTCACAATCATTAATTTTTCAAAGTATATATTTACTCGAGCAGAAGTTTGGACTCTTACGAACAGTTTTAATAGAGAACAGGTTTTCCAGCNCTACATTAAATTATTATACCACGAAAATTATGTTATAACTGTTGAAACGTAATAATTCAAACATCTGAAAAAATATATTAGTTGACAATATTCATTGTTCTGTTTTTAATTCAAAATTCACGATTTTAACAATCATAATCAACTTTATTTAAATAATAACAAAATTCAAAACTAATAGAATAAAAATGAAAACAATACTCCCACAAATAAACTAAGTCTGTAAATGTTGTCAAATGACCAAATATAACTATCAGAAATTCAACTGACTTCCAAAAAATACGATCTGACTATTGAATTTGTATGATTCGAGTTTATAGTGCTTTTAATTTTATATCATTCTTCTCGGTTATTTATATTTTGAGTATATTGTCTTAAACTAAACATTATTTAGTATTGGATTATTTAGTAAAGATTGTTGCTTCGTGTTGTTCACTAAATACTGGATTTGTATGATTCGTGTTCTCAGGTATTTAGATTTGGATTATTTAGTAAATATTATTACTTTGTGTTGTTTACTAAATATTGAATTTGTATGATTTTTGTTTATATATAAATTTAATCTTGTATATTTTAAATGTTAAACATATTTTCTTTAATATCTCTTAATATCTGAGTTGCCTAATAACTTAAATTTAATCTTGTATATTTTACATGTTAAGCATATTTTCTTTGTTAAATTAGATTTTTTGCAACTTATACTTTTTTTATTGATTATGAAAAAAACAAAATTGACTATTGAATTTGTGTGATTCGAGTTCATAGTAGTGTTTTTAATTTTATATCATTTTTTTTAGTTATTTATATTTTTAGTATATTTTCTTAAACTACACGTTATTTAGTATTTAATTATTTAGTAAAGATTGTTATTTCGTATTATTCACTAAATATTGAATTTATATGATTCGTGTTCATAGTATTACTTATAATTTTGTATCGTTTCTCTCGCTTGTAATATTGTATCATTTTTCTCGGGTATTTAGATTTGGATTATTTAGTAAATATTGTTATTTTGTGTTATTCATTAAATATTGAATTTGTATGATTCGTATTTGTATATGAATTTAATCTCGTGTATTTTAAATGTTAATATAAAACCTGAGTAAATTTAAATTTTTTATGAAAAATAGAAAAATGGTACATTGCCCTACGGTACGAGTTGTAAATCTGAAATTTTTTAGAACTTGGATAACAAAACGGACCTCATCGTTGGATTCATCTCGCGAAATTTAGCTATTCTGTCAAATTTTATCGAATTCTGATATAGTCAATTTTTTGCGTTTTACGAGACGATAGAGTCTGGGCTGACTCAAAAACGAAATTTTTAATAAAATTTTGAAAGTTGAAAAATAAATTGAGTTAAATTAAAATAAAAATATTTTGAACTTAAACGGGGACGAAATGTAATCGTTTCAGAACGAAAACGGACCCGAAAAAAAGAAGGTCGTGTGACGCATTGTGGAACAAGTAAATAAGGGGTATAAATAGGGGGAAAATCTGATTTCTCCCCCTAATCATCTGTCGTTCACCTGATAGAGAAGAAGAGAGGGAAATGAGAGAGCTTCTTCACTTCTTTCTACGATCTACAATAATCGGTTGCTCAAATCCGTTTGGGCCAAGAACAAAGATTGTTCTACACGTCGAGGGCTATGCGACTACACCAAAAACGACGATTTTCACCAAAATTTCCAAGAACGGGATTTTGAGAAATCAAGGGTTTGGGCTTGAAGGATATTCTTGAAGGTTCTATCGTCAATTTTATGCTTCAAGAGGTAGGGTTCCTTCTTACTTGGGTTTATTTTACAACCTAGAGTGTGAAATTGAAATGAGTAGGTTGATAGAGATATTTATCACTTGCCTTTGTTTGTGAATTTGATGTTGGTTTAAAATAAATTCCTAGTATGTAATTGGTATGTGGTATTTCCTTGTGTAAATCTATGAAATTTGGTGTTATATGGGCATGCTTATATTATACATTTGTGAATAAAGTGTGTTATTGACATATATTATGTAGTAACATACTTGTGATGTATTGTTGGATATAAAAATATTGATATACGCTTATAGATATATCGACATTGTGATGGAATTAGTGATATATACTTTGGATATGAATTGCCATAAAATATTTATAAATGTGGTAAAATTTACTCATATGACATTCATTACATATAGGGCATGACATTGATATTGCAATGGTACATTACATTGCATTTGCACGGAAGCATCACAACCATGGGCATAGACATAAGTGTCGATATGGATGTGTGCATGGTTTAATCAAATACCATACTTGGTGATTGATGGGTGGGCTCGAAAAAATTGGATTAAAAATTTTACTGAGTCACACGGTTTCATGAAAATTAGATCGGGATTAGCAAGAAAGGCTAGACAATCTCTCGGGTGAGAGACCTGATATTTGAATACACACTCCGTCAATATAAGAGCTCATAAAGTATGTCGGTATACGCGAAATCGTTGGTGAAATTTCATAAATTTCGTGTCGGTTGGGTGCCGTTGATGTAAGTCCACAAATACCTACCCCAAGAAAGACCCAAAAATTTTTAAATAGTCATTAGGTGTGTAACACCAATGACAGGGGCTTGAAAAGCCAGGTTTTATACTCATTACATTGNAAGCAACGAAGTGGAAGAGATCAGTTGATAGGTCATTATCATTCACAGTGCCATCAGAGATTCTCTCTCTTTGTCTCAAATCTTCATATGCAAAAAGCCAAGAAGTAATAAAAGAGGAGGCGAAGTATGTACGAAAATGAGGGGTTTCTTTATGGGATTTATCAAATGAGTTGGCAATATCAGATTACTCTTAGACCATCAAATACTGATAAAAATATTTTTGACTGTATTTAGAGTTATGAAAAATATTTTTTAATAAAAATTTTGATAAGCATAATATTACTCTTTTTTTATAGCTTACCACGACCCAGAAGCTTGCGATGTCGAGCAGAAGGTGTCTTGTATATACTAGTTCCATCAGAGATAACTGGGCTCCACGCCATGGATGGAGGACCATGTTCAAGAACTGAAACAAAAAAATAAGGGTGAGTAACACTTGGCCCCTAAAATTTAAATTCACAATTTTCATCTACAAGGCTCAATCAAAAAGAAAAGGATTGGTAATATAATTTGGAGATTTAATGATTATAATTATTAGATTATTAGTGAGTTCTAGTATTTAATATATTTTACTATTAATTCAAGGAACACAATGCATCAAGTTCTTAAATTATGTCTCAATAATATTAAAAAATAGAAAAGTGACAAAATAATCCAAAAGTAAATGTTCATTGTCTTCTCTGATAATTTTTTTAAAAAAATATAATTTAGACATAATTTAAGAACCTAGCTAGGAGACCTAATGAATTATAAGCATTGGATTAAAAGTGAGATTTATGTAACATTAAATTCACAACTAATTCAATAATTGTATTGAATTAAAACCCTAATTAGGTCCCAAATTAGATTCTATAACATTTATTTTTTATATTTGTCATATTATCTAGTTTTTATACACAATTATTTACACAATCCTTATTTTCAAGTATTTTCCAATAAAAATTTGGTACTAATTTTCTTAAAATAGAGCACATTGCTATTTCTTTGTTTGATTAAAAATATATTATGAGAATTTTAATCCTTCATGGAGCAAAAGGAAAATGCAAAAGATATTTTGGAGCGCAATGCAAAGTAGTATTGGACCAAAAAATAATAAAACAATTTTAAAACAGAGGAATCACAAGAAGGTGTCAACTGAGTTGTTTATTGGAAAAGGTAGGAGACAACAGAGAGATTTGGATACCCTCGTTGACGCAAACCACCGAGCCAATAATGGAAATCATATGGACAATAGTCAATACCATTATACAATCGAACGAAAATTCTAATAGGCTTTGGTAAGGTTCATTGAAGACTGACCTGTATGGAACGCAATGATCAGTAGTGAGACCGCGAATATCGCCATGATCAAAGCGATTCGCCTCCTTAATGACACAGTTCTCATCATTGAAATATAAAAAATTCTCATCGGAATCTCGTGCTCTTCGCCAGAGATTCAGTAACGCCGAAACTCCAAGAGAATAGAAATCTCTAATGCCAGTTGATTGGAGATAACAAACCAGACCTTGTCACAGAAGCTTCTAGAACGAAGCTGAGTTGAATGGTAGAGTTGGACTCGGTGACAACTGCGAACTTAGCTTGTAGGATCAGAAATTGCACTGATGAATCTTAATGATTAGACGGACGGGGGGGGGGAGAGAGAGAGAGAGAGTTTTTCTTTGACTGGAAACAATGAAATGACGCTCTAAATCTCTGCATCAAAAAACGGAGTTGACACATTTATACATAGATTCTACAAACAGAAAATCTGTACTCATATTCATACACATCAAATCAGTCACCAAAGAACGAGCTACAGCCGAAAACGAAGAGGTTCTACAACAACAGAAATAAATCGGTGAATTGATTACCGCTGAGGACAATCGACAAGTAGAGTAAGAGTTGCAAAGCAATGGAATCAGAGAGAGAGAGAGAGAGAGAAATGGCAGAGAAAATCGTGAGAGCGCCAGAAATGACAAAGCAAGTGGTATCACAGAAAAGCTGAACTGATGCAATGCATGTTGGAGGGGACATCTTCAGCTCCCTCCTTATATACCATCCGTAATTAATGAGTGAGGATCCATTTATATAAAATGGAGAAAAAAAATTAAAGAAAAATTGTAGTGAGGGATCTATCTATAATATAAAATATGACACACTTTAATAACTTCATCTGATAGTCTCAAATAAACTCATCCAACGACCATTAACATCTCTCTTAAAATTATTCATAGTACATTGTACCTTCATACGCAAGTTACTTCTAATTTATATATAATGGAGAAAAAATTTAAAGAGCAATGCGATTGGCACCTAATTTGTTAAATTAATTTATTATAATTATTAGATTAAATTAAAATTATATTATTAAGTCAATAAATTATATCAAATTTTTAGGTCTAAAAAAAATAACATTGCTTTTGATCATGAAAGAGCCTAGGAAATACACTTGGGCCGGCCTAGGAAATGCTTCTGGGGCCCATAAAATTTTTACCGTCTCAGTTAAATTTTGCAGAAAATTACGAGCTGATACCTTGTGGAGAATTTTTTTGTGAGAATAGACTTTGAAAAAAATATGTTGTAAATAAGTACCACTAGATTGAAATATATTATAGAGAAATATATAATAATTAGTAATTGTCCGTGCTTGAAGGTACGATGTTACTCATAAATTAGTTACAAATATTTGTTTATACATAAATATAAAATAAAATACAATATTGTAATAAACGACGAACAAAATGAGTCCGCTAATATTTTTTATAACATCAACCTACATGCATAACATATATTTCTACATTAAATTATTATACCACGAAAATTATGTTATAACTGTTGAAACGTAATAATTCAAACATCTGAAAAAATATATTAGTTGACAATATTCATTGTTCTGTTTTTAATTCAAAATTCACGATTTTAACAATCATAATCAACTTTATTTAAATAATAACAAAATTCAAAACTAATAGAATAAAAATGAAAACAATACTCCCACAAATAAACTAAGTCTGTAAATGTTGTCAAATGACCAAATATAACTATCAGAAATTCAACTGACTTCCAAAAAATACGATCTGACTATTGAATTTGTATGATTCGAGTTTATAGTGCTTTTAATTTTATATCATTCTTCTCGGTTATTTATATTCTTAGTATATTGTTTTAAACTAAACATTATTTAGTATTGGATTATTTAGTAAAGATTGTTGCTTCGTGTTGTTCACTAAATACTGGATTTGTATGATTCGTGTTCTCAGGTATTTAGATTTGGATTATTTAGTAAATATTATTACTTTGTGTTGTTTACTAAATATTGAATTTGTATGATTTTTGTTTATATATAAATTTAATCTTGTATATTTTAAATGTTAAACATATTTTCTTTAATATCTCTTAATATCTGAGTTGTCTAATAACTTAAATTTAATCTTGTATATTTTACATGTTAAGCATATATTCTTTGTTAAATTAGATTTTTTGCAACTTATACTTTTTTTATTGATTATGAAAAAAACAAAATTGACTATTGAATTTGTGTGATTCGAGTTCATAGTAGTGTTTTTAATTTTATATCATTTTTTTAGTTATTTATATTCTTAGTATATTTTCTTAAACTACACGTTATTTAGTATTTAATTATTTAGTAAAGATTGTTATTTCGTATTATTCACTAAATATTGAATTTATATGATTCGTGTTCATAGTATTACTTATAATTTTGTATCGTTTCTCTCGCTTGTAATATTGTATCATTTTTCTCGGGTATTTAGATTTGGATTATTTAGTAAATATTGTTATTTTGTGTTATTCATTAAATATTGAATATGTATGATTCGTATTTGTATATGAATTTAATCTCGTGTATTTTAAATGTTAATATAAAACCTGAGTAAATTTAAATTTTTTATGAAAAATAGAAAAATGGTACATTGCCCTACGGTACGAGTTGTAAATCTGAAATAAATTAGAACTTGGATAACAAAACGGACCTCATCGTTGGATACATCTCGCGAAATTTAGCTATTCTGTCAAATTTTATCGAATTCTGATATAGTCAATTTTTTGCGTTTTACAAGACGATAGAGTCTGGGCTAACTCAAAAACGAAATTTTTAATAAAATTTTGAAAGTTGAAAAATAAATTGAGTTAAATTAAAATAAAAATATTTTGAACTTAAACGGGGACGAAATGTAATCGTTTCAGAACGAAAACGGACCCGAAAAAAAGAAGGTCGTGTGACGCATTGTGGAACAAGTAAATAAGGGGTATAAATAGGGGGAAAATCTGATTTCTCCCCCTAATCATCTGTCGTTCACCTGATAGAGAAGAAGAGAGGGAAATGAGAGAGCTTCTTCACTTCTTTCTACGATCTACAATAATCGGTTGCTCAAATCCGTTCGGGCCAAGAACAAAGATTGTTCTACACATCGAGGGCTATGCGACTACACCAAAAACAACGGTTTTCACCAAAATTTCCAAGAACAGGATTTTGAGAAATCAAAGATTTGGGCTTGAAGGATATTCTTAAAGGTTCTATCGTCAATTTTATGCTTCAAGAGGTAGGGTTCCTTCTTACTTGGGTTTATTTTACAACCTAGAGTGTGAAATTGAAATGAGTAGGTTGATAGAGATATATATCACTTGCCTTTGTTTGTGAATTTGATGTTGGTTTAAAATAAATTCCTAGTATGTAATTGGTATGTGGTAATTACTTGTGTAAATCTATGAAATTTGGTGTTATATGGGCATGTTATGTGTTTATATTATACATTTGTGAATAAAGTGTGTTATTGACATATATTATGTAGTAACATACTTGTGATGTATTGTTGGATATAAAAATGTTGATATACGCTTATAGATATATCGACATTGTGATGGAATTAGTGATATATACTTTGGATATGAATTGCCATAAAATATTTATAAATGTGGTAAAATTTACTCATATGACATTCATTACATATAGGGCATGACATTGATATTGCAATGGTACATTACATTGCATTTGCACGGAAGCATCACAACCATGGGCATAGACATAAGTGTCGATATGGATGTGTGCATGGTTTAATCAAATACCATACTTGGTGATTGATGGGTGGGCTCGAAAAAATTGGATTAAAAATTTTACTGAGTCACACGGTTTCATGAAAATTAGATCGGGGTTAGCAAGAAAGGCTAGACAATCTCTCGGGTGAGAGACCTGATATTTGAATACACACTCCGTCAATATAAGAGCTCATAAAGTATGTCGGTATACGCGAAATCGTTGGTGAAATTTCATAAATTTCGTGTCGGTTGGGTGCCGTTGATGTAAGTCCACAAATACCTACCCCAAGAAAGACCCAAAAATTTTTAAATAGTCATTAGGTGTGTAACACCAATGACAGGGGCTTGAAAAGCCAGGTTTTATACTCATTACATTGCATGGGAGAAAAGAAGCTAGGGAGGAGGGCTCGGATTAAATTGCATGAGTGAATCTCATTTCATTTCATTGCATGACATGATAGAATTCCAAAATAGACTTGCTAAATCTTGATTGGAATGATTGTTGTTTGTAAAGTGTTGCATGTGAGCATTTCATGTGCATCTAAGTTGGGGGAGTAGCCTCTGTAGGAAATATTCTACTGGGTATGACTCACCTTATACGGAAAAATATTTCAAGTGCAGGATACACGCCAGAGGAAGGTCCTTGCATGGGACCTCAAGGATGAAGAAAGCCGAGATATGGCTTTATTTTGAGTTTTGTTGTAAACTATTATGAAAATTTAGTTTGACATGTAAATTCATATAAATGAATGTAATTAAATTGATATGAACCTTGTGTTATATGAAAAATTGTCATTGCACATGTGTTGGATGGAAAGGGGATAGGTTGGAATGAGTTGGAAATGCAAAACAAGTTAAACAAGTAAAAGTCGGCAAAGCATATCGATATGACGTAGCAGTATGACGAGGTCCAGTGGGCAACTCATACTGGTACACTTTCCAAACTCTGCATGTACAACTTTATCCAGTAGGCAAACCTTACCGGTAGGAATTTTTTCAGTAAGTTCACCCTACCGGTGAACTTACTTTTGGATCATGTGTCCTTCCTTCCAAATGATGTAAATAGACTATAATAGAGTATGAAATGTGGTACATTGAACCACAATTTGATTAGATGATAAAATGTACACGGGTTACACGTGTGGTTTATAATTCCGATTAAAGGAATGTTATTGACGTAATATCAAGTTGTGCGATAATCACAGGTACTTCCGCAAGTTGAAGGGTGGTTAACGATTGAAAAAAGACCCTCAATTTTTGGGGTTAAGCATATTTTCTTTGTTTAAATTATATTTTTTGGAAGTTATGTTT